AACTAACTGAATTGGAATACAAAAAAGGGAGGTGTGAGGAGGTCAGGGAAGCAAGGTTATGAATATATGATATGGAAAGATTGATGTGTTTTCTTTTTAAATGTTTTTTATCTTTTTTCTGTATTTTGTATTTTTTTCCTATTTTTGTCTTTCTTCTACTCTTTTTATTTATGTAATTTTTTTCCTTTGAAAACTTAATAAATATCATAAAAAACCCCAACAGAATGCTGTCCAGTCTGGACACTGTACCAGGGCGTCCAGATTGGAATGCATAGCTGGTGTCTCCCAGGTTTTGCTCACTCCAGATGTCTTAGAGACCCCTGTTGACGGAGGTTGGGAATCACAAGTGGGGAGAACGTAGCTACACACCCAGGCACTGCTGGCAGGCTTCTCTGGTTGGCAACCGTGAGAAGAGGTTACTTGATGGCAGTGGTGTAGCATGGGTTGCCAGGGCCCAGGGCCACACCGGGAAGGGAGGGAAACGGACAGAGTATGCATGCACATTCAACTGCTTAACAGTGTCCGTGTCACCCAGGGATCGCAGGCACAGAGATACAAAAAGAAGAGTCATGCCGTAGTCTGGAGCGGTCACTTCCTAGTTCACATGGAGAAGCCATTTTTAATGGAGCCCAACAATGGAAGCACAAAGCTGTATTATGGCAGTACCAGGTGTTGAAATATTGCACCCCTAACAATTTTGTGCCCGGGGCAACCATCCCGTGCCCCCCATGCTATGTCACTGCCTGCTGAATTGCCTTACCCCATACATGCCCACTAGAGTGCTTTGATCTGTGGAACTGGCACTGTTACAGGTGCAATAAGACTTGCTCTGCATTTTCGTGCAGCGGCACCTAAACTTTGGAACTCCCTGCCTATTGACTTTGGACAAGTGCCTTCACTGTCTGTTTTTGGCACGTCCTTAATGTTATGTACTGATGTTCTCACCCTGGGCCAGCAGGGGGATACTGTAGATAGTTATGCAAATGAAGGATCGAAAGTGACATTCAGTGATTGGATAGTTTTAGAAAGTTGTTACAGTAACAAGGTACTGGAGCTGTATATAAGCAGGCTGACTGAGGCCTTCAGTTCAGTTCTGTTCTGGCATTGAAATAAAGAAGAGCTGTTTGAAGAATCGTTGTGTCGTCTGATATGTTCACCCACAACTTAACACATTTTTGCTCAGGTAAGTCTATCTAGATCTGCAGAAGGTTTGTGTGTTTTATTCCTTTTTTAGCTACTGTCGTTTTAACCATTTGGAATATTTTAAAATACCTGCTTTTAGCTTTTTTTAAAAAAAATCAATAATTTTAATTGGGGGGGGGGCAGGAAGCAGAAGGAATAGCATGCAAGAGCAACAAGGCTGCCTGCAGATGGCCGTCAGGAAAAAGCAAAGGTTTATTTTGCGGGGGGTGGGGATAAAGCTGAGTGGAGTGATTGTCTATGCAAATTGTGCCTCTCAAACCCTTTGTTGCATAAGGGTTCCTGCGCTGGGATCTCTGATTGGTGCACATTGCTTATGAGCCATGATTAATGCTCTCCTATGAGAGGTCTCCCAAGGTCTGGCAAGCTGTGAAAACAATTTCCATGTCGAGCTAGGAAATTATACAAGAAGTTCTCTTCGCTCTTCGCTGCAGGCCATTTATGAATCCGATCTCTGATAGAGAGCAACACTTTGTCAAGTCATCATTGTCTCTCTCTCTTTTTTTTTTTACAGCATTTATAGATTGGAAGTGGTGGGGGGTTGCACAGCTGAGAACCGCCCCAAGCCGTGCACCACCCAAACAGATGCACACCAAATATAAGTGATTTTTGCATTGGGATATTTTGCAGGAATCATATTCAGATGATGTGTGCTGAAGGGAAAGGAATAGGATTTGGTTAGGCATGCACCATTTGTAAGCCATCAAACTAAGACATCTTCCCACCTGCGCAGGTAAGGGAGTTACTTACGCGTCACTAAAAAGAGGAACAGAATCACCAAAAAGGAAGGCAAAACTGGATACAGAGCTGCATGAAATTCGCAAATGAAATTTATACGTATCAATGCAAATTTGGGGGACATGCCAACTAGGTTTTACTCAGAGTAAGCCCACTGAAATTATGGACCAAAGTTGCAATGCAGTCCTAACCATGTCTACTCATAAGTAAATCCTGTTGAATTCAGGGAGCCTTACTCCCAGGTAACTTCAATGGGTCTACTTTGAGTATTACGTTGGATACCAACCCCTCCCCCCAAAAAAGTTGCTATACCTGCTTGGGCCGTGCTAGGTGACCTATTTATTTAGCATTCATCTGGATTTGTTTGCAGGGAGATTAATGACCAGTGCCTGGCGTGCTGTGGTCCATGGGGTCACGAAGAGTTGGACACAACTAAATGACTAAACAACAAATTTAATGACCATGCATTTTGATTTGTTTGTGGGGAGGTTAGGTGATTTTGTGTCAAGGCAAGTGTTATCCCACGCTTTATAGTTCACTTCCCCATCACTTTCCTTATTGCAAACAGTTCAGCCTTTTGGAGGAGCAGATTTGTTGTGCAACACCAACCAGTCCTATGCACAAACACGGGCACACACTCACACATGCAGTAAGAAGAGTCTTCATAGCTCAGAACATGCTCCATATAGAACAAGCACCTTGCTTTCCACAGTGAATAAACAGCTGTCTTAGGGAAGACCCAAAGCAGAACATTCTGCTTAGTTGTGGGTTTGCTGAATACCAACTTAGCTGAATACCAACCAAAGGAAACAACACCCTTCCCCAGCAGTTTCACCTGCCAGATAGTAGTGCTGGGAGATATCCTGCATCTGACAATGGAAGTTTCCCATTGAAGAGGGGGGTGGGAGTTATGGAGCGCTAGCTGCTGGGGACGTAGGCTCGGGTCGGACCTGGGCTCGGCCATGTGTCCTTGCCCTCCCGGTGCTCTCCTACTTCTCTCCTCAGCAGCGGCAATGTTGGGACTCCTTTCTTTTTTCTCCCTACCTGCCCACAGACTGTCTCGCCAGAGTGGTGCATGCTCTGGTTATCTCCCACTTGGACTACTGCAATGCACTCTACGTGGGGCTACCTTTGAAGGTGACCCGGAAACTACAATTAATCCAGAAGGCGGCAGCTAGACTGGGGACTGGGAGCAGCCGCCGAGACCACATAACACCGGTCTTGAAAGACCTACATTGGCTCCCAGTACGTTTCTGAGCACAATTCAAAGTGTTGGTGCTGACCTTTAAAACCCTAAAAGGCCTTTGTCCAGTATACCTGGTCCAGTATACCACTCCCATCGTTCTGCCTGGACACTGAGGTCCAGCGCCGAGGGCCTTCTGGCAGTTTCCTCATTGAGAGAAGCCAAGTTACAGGGAAGCAGGCAGAGGGCCTTCTCGGTAGTGGCACCCGCCCTGTGGAACACCCTCCCACCAGATGTCAAAGAGAACAACAACTACCAGACTTTTAGAAGACATCTGAAGGCAGCCCTGTTTAGGGAAGCTTTTAATGTTTGATGCATTACTGTATTTTAATATTTTGTTGGAAGCCGCCCAGAGTGGCTGGGGAAACCCAGCCAGATGGGCGGGGTATAAATAATAAATAAATAATAAATTATTATTATTATTTATTTTTTCTCTCTCCTCTTTCTCCTCTCCCCTTTCTTTTCGCGTTAGCTCTGGGGTTTTCCTGGCCCCAGAGCTCCACTGGACAGTCAGCCTGGTGGCCGGGTGATCTCGCACCCCACTCAATTTGGGTCGGGGGGCTCAGCGGCTTCCCTAGTTGATGCACCAGGCGTCCCTGGTTCCCTTTTGGTAGTGGCAGTGGCGGCAGCAGCGGCAGTCTCAGCAGCCAGGAGCCAGCCTGGTAGGGCAGTTGGTTCTGGCTGGCTTCAGGAGCTACTCGCTGCCATGGCGCCCACCATGTTGCCTCACTGGAAGTCAGAAGTTTCCCATTGGACACAATGACTTGTAGTCATCAATGGGCTTCTTCCCCTCCATTTGTTTACCTCACTCTGCTTTGAAAGCCATCTAAGACAGTGACCATCTCCCCATCTTGTGGCGCACTGGCACACACACTCCATTGCAGCACTTTTTAGCACAAAACTGCCAATGGGAAGAGCAGCAGCTCCATGAAAAAGCTCTATGTTCAACCTCTGGTATCTCTGCTGGAGACTGCAGGGAGCTACAGCAGGCAATACTGGACTTGACGGACCAATCATCTGAAATAATTTATGGCAGCTGCATATATGTAGGCTGGGAGGAAGCTTTGGCCCTCCAGATGACTCTGAACTACAACTCCCATCAACCATAGCCATTGGCAATGCTTGCTGGAGCCAATGGGAGCTGCAGTTCAGAGACAACTGGGGGCCAAAGGTCCCCCAACTCTAAGGGACGCATAGCTGTCAACTTACAGATTTGAAAATAAGGGATCAGTAGCCAAAATAAGGGATTTTCCAAGCACAGGTATGTTCAACTTCTGAGCCCCTCCAAGCCAAAGGCAGAAAGCCCGGCCAGCAGCCAAACGAAGCCTCAAGAGGTGGTTCCCACAGCGCAGCAACCCGGCAAAGGGGATGCAGCAAGGGAAACCACTGTCACCTCTCCGCTGGGAAGCGCTGAGCAAAGGCGAGTCCCCAGGCAACACGGCCAATTTGATCGGCACAAGGCATGCAAGCTCCACCCCCCAGTCGTTCTTAGACTCCTTATTGGGTGAGCAACGCAGCCAAGCAACACAGTTGGAGCCTCCCTCCTACCTGGCCGGCAGGGAGGAAGGGAGAGGAGCTGCTTCCTTTGAAACCCAGGAAATTTAAGGGACATCATCAATAAGGGACAGCAGCGGGACATGGCACTGGGATAAGGGACTTTCCCGCCAAATAAGGGACGGTTGACAGCTATGAAGAGATGTACTTGGGATGCCTTGTTTCAGTACAGACTCCAATTGCTCTGCCCTCTTTGGGGAGAAGTTTGGGTCGAAGGCCCACAACACCAGCACTCCCAGACCTCACTCTTCACTTGTACGGTTACCTCCATACTTTTGACTTCTTCCACATCCAGTCCCATGACGGAGAATTTCTCCACGGAGGCATCTGCAAACTCAGTCTGTCCATCTGGGAGGTCAAGCCACAGCCGGCCCGTCTGCAGCTTCCGGGGACCCGAAATGATGATATAGACGCGGCTGTCGGTGTCTGAACCCAGCTCGGCACCCGTGGTGACAATGATGTGGTAAGGAATTACTGGAAAGAAAGGAAGAATAAGGCAAGTGAGCGATGGAGGGTGTGGGAAGGTTCCATGTTTAATCCATGGCACCTGCAGGTAAAGGATTTCAGACATGAGGTCTATTCATGGGTTCTTTGACTGAGACTTTGGGGAGCCACTGCCAGGGACAGTGAGACCCCGTCTGCACTATGCATTTAAAGCATCATCATACCACTTTAAACACCCATTGCATTCCCCAAAGAATCCACGGAGTTGTCATTTGTTAAGGGTGCTGATAGGCATGTAAAGGTAAAGGGGCCCCTGACCATTAGGTCCAGTCACAACCGACTCTGGGGTTGCGGCGCTCATCTCGCTCTATAGGCCGAGGGAGCCGGCGTTTGTCCGCAGACAGCTTCCAGGTCATGTGGCCAGCATAACTAAGCCGCTTCTGACGAACCAGAGCAGTGCACAGAAACGCCGTTTACCTTCCCGCCAGAGCGGTACCTATTTATCTACTTGCACTTTGACGTGCTTTCAAACTGCTAGGTTGGCAGGAGCAGGGACCGAGCAACGGGAGCTCACCCCGTTGCGGGGATTCAAACCGCTGACCTTCTGATCAGTCAGCCCTAGGCTCAGTGGATTAGACCATAGCGCCACCCGCGCTGGCTGGTTGTTAGGAAACCTCTAATCCCCTCACAGAGCTCCAATTCCCAAAGTTCTCTGGGAAGAAGAATGGGCAGTTGAACCACTCTAGGAACTGTGGAGAGATAAGGGGGGGTCACTTAACAACCCTCAGCCCCCTTAATGAACTACAACTCCCAGGATTCTTTGGGAGAAGTCGTGGGGGAGTTGCTAGGAGACTCATATTTCTCTCATCGAGCTACAATTCCCAGAGTTCCCTGGTAAGAAGGGCTGGTGGTCAAAGCACTTGGGGAATTGCAGCGAACTAACTGAAATCTCTTCTCCAACCCTACAAAGTCACATGTTCAAGTGCCAAACGGCCTTCTGCCTGCCCTCTTCCCACTGCAGTGCATCATATCCTTACATGGCCCTTCCGGAGAAGATTCACTCGAACTGTCTGTTTTCTTATCCTTCATGTTGGCATTGTTGTCCCGGCTCAGGGATGAGTCACCGACGTTTTTTTTGTCAGGATCGTAGTTCTAATGGGAGAGAGCAAATACACCCAGGGGACTTAACAGGTCCAGCCTTCCCAGCAAAGTGAGAAGAAGTTCCTCCACACCCCAAGGAACAATATTACCACAATTCCTGATATGAGTTATTCCAAGTCAGCTGTTTACCAAGTGCAATGTGATTAATGGGATATGAATATATATATATACAAATGATTTTGGGGGGAGGCCCTCATTCTACAATGCTGCTTCTATGCACCTAGGCAAACTGGTTAAAGGCAGGATTTATTTTGGACTTGGAACAAGCTCTGGGTTCAAATCCTCACTTACTCATAGAGCTCACTGTGTGCCCTTTGGCAAGTCTCTCTTGCTTGCTCCCCCCCCCCACATAACCTACCTCTCAGGACTGTCAGGTAGATAAAATTAGAGCTTTTTGAAGGGGAAGGACACAAATGTTATAAAGAAAACCAACGACAAACCTGCAAGTCCTCCGACCAGTTCTGTTTTAACCAGGGCTGCCGCCTAGTTAAATAAATCTTAGTTGATCGAGTCTGTGAATATCAGCTGATTAAATTCAGATAGGAAGCAATACTTCTGAGCAAGAAGCCTCCCTTGTTTTCAGAGGGATATGGCCTAGTAGAAATCCTTTTAGAAAGGGGTGAGGAACCTTAGGCCCAGGGGCCTAAAGCTCTCGCAATCTGGCCCCTGGGATTCTCTGCAAAAGGAAAATGCCCTCCTGCCCATAAAACCTCTGTTCCTCTGTCTCTGCTATTCAGCCACCAATTCTGGCTTAACCCAACTTTTTATCTCCCCAAAGGAACAATGGGAACACAATGTCTATGTTCCAATGGCTCCTTAGCCAACGGACCCAAATCTCAGCCAATCCATGGCCAGCCTATGTGAGTGGAGTCAATCCAGTTCTTGAAGGTCCTGAGAAAGTTCCACCTGCAGTTCAGTGACTCGCCACATGAGGCAACTGTCCACAGAGCCCAGCAGCTCCAGACACCCTAATCGCTGGGTATGATCTGACTCGCCAAAACGCTTTGCAAGCAGAAATGAGCCAAGTATTCCGAAGCAATTTGTGCAGTGAAAACTGTGATCTGAATGGGAAACAGCCGCAAAAATTCTTGGGGGTTTGGGGGCTGGTGTAATAGCATGACTAAATGTTTAAAAATAAAAGAAAATCCCCCTGCATGTTCGTTGAAATTGTTTTTATTAAACCTAATTAGTTTTGCCTCCTTAAAAGGAATTAATAATAGCAGCTAAGTAAGCCTGGTCCCACCGGGCCCTTTGCAGGCTACATGTACTGGATGCAACCCATGAAGCTCATCTCTGGGGTGTCTCCATTTGCCCCAGTGTTAATATGCAATCGTTTCAGTCATAACGTGCAATTAAAACATTGCTCTGCCCTGTAGAACAAGCCCTTACAAAGTCAACCAGCTCCACTCAACTGAGGTACAAGGCCTTTCTGAGTAAAAGGCCGAGCGCTGCCTATTAATTTTGATCCCGTTAATTAATCCACATACTTGGAATTCTAATTAGCTCCTGGTTTTCAGTGGTCGTGGCAGTCAGAAAGAAGCTTTCTTTCTTTCACACATGGAAGCCACAGACTTTTCACCAGGAGAGACTAATGGTTCCAAAAGCAAAGCCTTGGCAAAAAAACAAAGCTTGTGTGTCATCATCAAGTGGATGAAAAGTCAGTGCTAAGGACATGGTTTTGCATAAGTTTCTAGGCCATATGAAATTATGCTGATGTGGAGACAGATACTACTCTCTTTCCTTCCCAGTACTAACATTTGGAGTTAGTTCCAGACCTTCCAAGTGTCCCTGTTTTCCATGGACGGTCCCAGATTTACAGAAACCTCATTTAATTCATGCTGTAAATTTGATTCATATCAGGTTCCTGATGTGATCCCAGAATGTCCCTCTTTTCCTTAAAGGTAAAGGCACCCCTGACCGTTAGGTCCAGTCGCGGACGACTCTGGGGTTGTGGTGCTCATCTCACTCTATAGGCTGAGGGAGCCAGCTTTTGTCCGCAGACAGCTTCTGGGTCATGTGGCCAGCATGACTAAGCCGCTTCTGGCGAACCAGAACAGCGCACGGAAACGCCGTTTACCTTCCCACCGGAGCGGTACCTATTTATCTACTTGCACTTTGACGTGCTTTCGAACTGTTAGGTGGGCAGGAGCTGGGACCGAACAATGGGAGCTCACCCCATCATGGGGATTCGAACTGCCGACCATCTGATCGGCAAGCCCTAGGCTCTGTGGTTTAGACCACAGCACCACCTGCGTCCCTCCTCTTTTCCTTAAAGGTAAAGGGACCCCTGACCATTAGGTCCAGTCGTGACAGACTCTGGGTTGCGGCGCTCATCTCGCTTTATTGGCCGAGGGAGCCGGCGTACAGCTTCCGGGTCATGTGGCCAGCATGACTAAGACACTTCTGGTGAACCAGAGCAGCGCACGGAAACGCCGTTTACCTCCCCGCCACAGCAGTACCTATTTATCTACCTTCACTTTGACGTGCTTTTGAACTGCTAGGTGGGCAGGAGCTGGGACCGAGCAACGGGAGCTCACCCCGTCGCAGGATTCAAACTGCCAACCTTCTGATCGGCAAGCCCTAGGCTCTGTGGTTTAGACCACAGCGCCACCCACGTCCCTCCTCTTTTCCTTAGGACGTCCCTATTTCCATCAGAGAAATGTTGCAGGGTATGGAGTTATGCTACCCAAGCCAAGGAGATAAGTAGCTATGCAACCTTTAGAAGACATCTGAAGGCAGCCTTTAGAGGGAATGCTTTTTAAATGTTTTATTATGGAATTAATACCCAAGGGGCATCATTTAGAGATGGACACACTTCACACTGCTCTTCAGGAGATGCTCTATTTCTGCCCAATTTGCTTTTTCTAAATGCTGAGGCGCAGGTAGACCTGTTGCAGCAGCCCCCAACCAGCTCTGCCCTCACCCCACCAACAGGCTGCTTGCAGGAGCAATGGAAGAGTTGAGCCATGAACAGGATCATATCTCTTATTTCAGGAACAGAACAACTGCTGGCTTGGCTGGCTTCCTGCTCACAGAAGGGAAATGCTACTTGACATTTGACTTGCTCTCTGAATCAGCTATGCCTGCTGTGTCTTTGAGGAAGAGAAGTTTTGGCTCAAATCTTGGGGGAAGAAGAGGGCGAAAAATGAGAGTCGCCCTTCCCATCTTTAGGAATGGGAGCGCGAAAGTCAGGGTTTCTTGACTGAACTTAAAAGTTTCGTGAGTCTAATTTTTTTAAAGAAAATTCATATTTTTGTCACACACACCCCAGTGATGACACCCGAGGTGGACCGCACCCACCACACCCTCCTTCCTCCACTATTGCCTATAAAGCCTTAAACAGCTCTGGACCGCAATACCTCAAGGACCGCCTCTTTCCCTATGAACCTACCCGGACCCTGAGATCATCTTCTGAGGCCTTACTCCTCAAGAGGTCCGGAGGGTGGCAACACCAGAACAGGGCCTTCTCTGCAGTGGCTCCCCATCTGGGGAATGCTCTCCCCAGGGAAGTTCACCTGGTGCCTTCATTATACACCTTTGGACGCCAGGCAAAGGTAAAAGGTAAAGGTACCCCTGCCCGTACGGGCCAGTCTTGCCAGACTCTAGGGTTGTGCGCTCATCTCACTCTATAGGCCGGGAGCCAGTGCTGTCCGCAGACACTTCCGGGTCACGTGGCCAGCGTGACATCGCTGCTCTGGCAAGCCAGGGCAGCACACGGAACACCGTTTACCTTCCCGCTAGAAAGCGGTCCCTATTTATCTACTTGCACCCGAAGGTGCTTTCGAACTGCTAGGTTGGCAGGCGCTGGGACCGAACGACAGGAGCGCACCCCGCCGCGGGGATTCGAACCGCCGACCTTTCGATCGGCAAGTCCTAGGTGCTGAGGCTTTAACCCACAGCGCCACCTGCGTCCCTACAAGTTCACCTGGTGCCTTCATTATACACCTTTGGACGCCAGGCAAAAACGTTCCTTTTTAGCCAGGCTTTTGGTTGATCTGATTTACATCCTATGCCCTTTTAAAATGTGGGGTTTTTTTGAGGGGGGTGTCTATTGGGTTGTTGTTTTAATTTTTATTATGTCTTTTGTGGTTTTATATCTTGATTTTATTCTGTGAACCACCCTGAGACCCCTGCGAATAAAGACCCCTTGGCTAAAGATTGTGGATGGTCTGAAGAGAAACAAGGCATGACCTACTGTTTAAGAGTAAGGCTACACCAGGGTCCAGTGGAGAAGAGTAAAGCAGAAATATTTAGCTTGTTCACAGTAAGGCACACAGTGGTACCTCGGGTTAAGTACTTAATTCATTCCGGAGGTCTGTTCTTAACCTGAAACTGTTCTTAACCTGAAGCATCACTTTAGCTAATGGGGCCTCCCGCTGCTGCCACGATGCCACCACGCAATTTCTGTTCTCATCCTGAAGCAAAGTTCTTAACCCGAGGTACTAGTTCTGGGTTAGCGGAGTCTGTAACCTGAAGCATATGTAACCCAAGGTACCACTGTATATAAATTCTAATAATAACAATACAGTGGTACCTCAGGTTACATACGCTTCAGGTTACATATACGCTTCAGGTTACAGACTCCGCTAACCCAGAAATCATGCTTCAGGTTAAGAACTGTGCTTCAGGATGAGAACAGAAATCGTGCTCCGGCGGTGCAGCGGCAGCAGGAGGCTCCATTAGCTAATGTGGTGCTTCAGGTTAAGAACAGTTTCAGGTTAAGAACGGACCTCCAGAACAAATTAAGTTCTTAACCCGAGGTACCACTGTGTGCCTTACTGTGAACAAGCTAAATATTTCTGCTTTGGGGAACAAGAAGACATTGGCTACTAGCCAACTAGCCCCAGCTGGGAGGAGCTTCAGGAAGTGGCTTTGTGGTTTGCACCCAATTCTTTGATTCCAGCCCCCTATGCACCCCAAAACAGCCCAAACGGCCTCCTTTTGCAGCTTGCAGCTGGTGCTATGAAAGTACGGCATTTTTACCCAGCGTT